GGAAGCCTGCTTCTCCCTCTCCCACTACCCCTGCTTGTGTTCCCTCTCTTGCTGTCTCTCTCTCTCTGTCAAATAAAATCTTTTTTTAAAAAAAAGGAAGTATGGTGTGGTGGCAAGTCTCAAAGAGGAACTCCAATAGACCACACTTTGCAATTCGTGTCCTGTATAGCCCTCTCTTTCATGGACTGTGACCTGGACTGTGACTTGCTTTAACCAATAGGATGTGGTGAGAGTGGTGGGGAGCCCGTTCCATTTCGAGGGTTTAAGAGGACTGGCAGGTCTGCTGCCTCCTCTTGGAACATTTGCTGTGGGGAGTCCTGGGCTGACATAAAAGTTCACTACTCTGATGGAGGGACCACTCTGATGGAGAAACCATGTAAAGAGGCTCTGAGACTACAGGGGAAGGGGTCAGGTCCTGCTGCCTGCACAACCTGGTTGAACCTTCAGATGACTCCAGTCTAGCTGCCATCTGACTTTAACTGCATAAAAGATCCCACGAGAGGCCAGCAGAAGAACCATCCAGCTGAAGCCCACAAGACACCGAAAAGAGGGGCAATCAAATGCCCTCAGTTTTGAGGCAGTTATGCAGCGTAGTTAATAATATAGGACAAACCTGTTAACTGTAAGACTCCAGATGAAAAGACAGTGAATGGGTTTCCTCCAAATAATTCATACAACTAACCTGAAGAACTTTTACAGGGAAGCAAGCTTTCAGTGCACTCAGTTTCTAGGTTAGTGAACAGCATTTTTATTCTCGATCAAAAAACTCATCAAAAAGTGGGATTCTCTCTGTCCTGGTCCTCACCAGTGCCTGTGGTTTCTTCTCGCTTTTTCTCAACTCCTCTGAGTCAGAGCTAGAACTGTCCCAGAGAAGCTGACCCTGGGCCTCTTGTTCACGGAGCCACGTTTCCATTTTGCCAATTTTCCGGGGACAACAGTCATTCCTTGCTTGATGTTCCCCTAAATCTTCATTCTGTGAATTTCCTACACAAAATTTAAAGTTTAATTAATTCTTTTTCTCCTAACAGTGATTTGTTTGTTTATTAAGTGCCTAGATATTTATGAACACAGAATAATGTGCTTGGTATTCTTTTGAAATAAATATATATATATGTTGAAATATATATCATATATATTTACATATGAGTTCAACTTTATATATATATAAATATAAAGCTCTGTAAGCATTAAAAGTGTTTTTCTTTTTATTTAAAATTCTTAAAAATCTTCTGAAAGTCACAAGAATAATACAATACATACCTATATATCCCAACTCATTGACAACATTTTGTCACAATATTGCTTTGATTTTATACACGCATGCATGCACTCATGCTTTTCAGCTCAGCTATTTGAGAATTAGTTGCAGTTACATCCCCTCCAAATATATCACCACAAATCTAACAGCAAGGGTGCTTTTCCTACTTAACTACAACTATTACACTTAGAAAATTTAACATTGATATATTACTGTTTTTTAATATATGGTCCACATTCTAATATTCATGGTTGTCCCAATAATGCTCTTTATAGCTGCTTTTTGTTTGCCTGTTTGTGTTTTATTTTTTAGATCCAGGATCCAATCTAGGATTATGTATTGCATAATCTTCCCTATCTGTTTCTTTTCTTTTTTCTCTTCTTTCTCTCCCTCCTCTGCCCTCCTCCTTCTCTCTCCCTCATTCTCACTCTTGACCCCTCCCTTCCTCTTCCTCCAAACCCCCTTCATTGTCTTCTTCTTTTTCCCTAACACTGACATTCTTAAAGAATCCAGATCTGGGCGCCTGGGTGGCTCAGTCGTTAAGCATCTGCCTTCGGCTCAGGTCATGATCCCAGGGTCCTGGGATCGAGCCCTGCATTGGGCTCCCTGTTGGGCGGGAAGCCTGCTTCTCCCTCTCCCACTCCCCCTGCTTGTGTTCCCTCTCTTGCTGTGTCTCTCTCTGCCAAATAAATTAAAAAAAAAAAAAATCTCAGGAAAAAAAAAAATCCAGATCAATTGTTTTGCAGAACGGCCCTAAATTTGGGCTTGTCTGTTTCCTTGTGATTAGATTAAGGTTAAGCATTTTTGGCAAGAGTATTGCATGGGTGATGTTACCTAGTGCAATTTATTCAACAGCTACTATGTGCTAGGTGCATGATACACACTTTTCCTGACCTTCATATCCACTCTCACCTCATATAGAATCGCCTGTGAAGCCTTTTAGAAACACAAATGTTTGGGCTGCACCCCAGACCTATAGAACTAGATAGCTCAAAGGATCATGCATTTTATTTTACTTTCTATACTTTCTAGAAGAGATTTAATCATTTATTTTTTGGCATAGGATATTATGTATGTATGTATGTAGCTTTTTATTTAAGCTGTACCCAGTGCCCTTTTAAAATGCACTTCAGGGGACGCCTGGGTGGCTCAGTCAGTTAAGTGTCCAACTCTTGATTTCAGCTCAGGTCATGATCTTGGGGTCATGGGATCAAGCCCCAGGTCGGGATCCATGCTCAGTGGGGAGTCTGCTTGAGATTCTCTCTCTACCCCTTCCTGCCTGGCTCATGCTCTCTCTCTTTCTCCCCCTCAAATAAATAAATAAATAAAACTTAAAAAAAAATTTTTTTTAATGCACTTCAGAACAACAGGTGCTTTATTCAAGCAAGGCTGGCTTTTAGCAAAGCAAAAGCAATGGCCACTTCCGAGCTAGGAAAATCATCCTGGGTCAAAACCCAGAATGTCCCCTCCATCTGGTTGAACCATCCGTAACGTTTGGATGTCATCTTAAGGATAATTGTTTATTAAACTTATGGCATATTTTATTTAAGCCCTTGATAGCTGATGTTGCATATTGTTAGACTGCATACTGTTACACGAGGAAATCAAGCATCTCAATGCGAGCGTTTGTGCCTTGTGATTCATTAATTTCCTTTCTGCCTCGGTGAGGGGCTACTTGAATGTTATTATAATTATTGTTATTGTCTATACATATAGTAGTGACCAAAAACCATAGTTAATTCATGTCTGCAGCCCCCATCTCTCTCCTGAGTTACAATACACTTTTGTTTGTTTTGACGCCTCCATTTTTGTCTCCCGGTGACATGTCACACTCGCCTTCTCTTTCTCTTTCAAACCCTCATTTTCTCCCAGTTACCCTAATTCAGCAAATTGCCCTAGCTTTGCCCCATTGTCTGCCTAGTTCTTCAAGAGTAACCCAAGAAACCTCCCGGTCTTCCTGCTCTCTCCACGAATCCACATGCGATCCATCACCGGGTTCTTCCAATTCTGTCTCCTAAATACCTCACATCCGGCTCCTTCTCTTCTGTCACCCTGCTCTCCTGGTCCAAGCACCATCTCTCACTTGCACTTCTGCTATGTCCTTATCACTTGTCTTCCCATGTCCTCTTGCATTCTCCTCCCATCCATCCTCCACAGGGTAGACAGAGTGATGCTTAAAAATGTAAGCCTGATTGTGTGGCTCCCCTGACCTTTCAGTGGCTTCCCATTGATCTTAAACTCAAGTTCAAAGTCCTTATTTGACTCAACTTGCAAGACCCCGTGTGCTCTGCACCCCGCCTGTGCCTCCAGAACCATCTCTGACCGCTACCTGAATCTCTCTTTCCTACCCAGTGTCTAGAATCTGCCAGCTTCTTTCCCACTCAAGAGATTTTGCACATACTGTGACCATTAACAGTTCGGAATGTTCCAGCATCTTGGTCCTCACACATACATGGATTCCTGTCCCTTTTGTCTGGCTACTTCCTGTGTTAGTCTAAATATCACTTCCTCGTGGAAACCTGAGTCTCTCACACCTCTCAACTGAGGTCTCCCAGTTACACTGTCATCAGACTTCTCCTTGTTCCTTGTCTGTACTATTGCAAAGCCAGGAACCACATCTATGAACAGATGAGTGAGCGAATGAGCCATCAGAGAGTTTGGGGAGGTAAGAAGTATTGGTAACTGGGCTGGGAAAGACTTCACTCATCGGGGCCAGGGGGTGTAACCATCCCTGCTCCGCCAACGAGCCAAGAACCACCAGTGGCATCGTTCAGACTGGGAACAGCAATTTTCTGCGGACTAGAGGCAGGAGCTTTGAAACAGGAAGAGAATGTTTGTTAATGGTGGGTCTAATGCAATATTAATAACAGCTTAAGTACCACCCGCTCTTGATGTTACGATAACGCAGGCCTAAAGTTAGTACGTGAAGCCAAATTCACACGGTCCATTTTATCCTTAGATCTCTCTTAAATCATTCATGAAGTATTATGTACAAGGTTTTGTATACATAGCATTAAAGTTTAAGAACTTCTCAGCTAGATGTCTTTTTACTTGTTACATTTTTATAAATCCCTGCTTGATTCTCTGGGGTTGCTAGACTTAAGGAAAAAGAAAAAGAAAAATACGTTGAAAAACCTAAATGGGTTTTGGGTGAGCAGAGCAGAGGAGAGTGCGTACAACTTCAAAATTAATTTGGGAAGAGAGAAAAGCAACAGAGACCAGTGGGGGAAATAGGGAGTGATTTCAGGTAGTACAGGGATTCTCTAAAGTATTAAAAATGTCTGATGGTTATGTATTTTATAATACATATATGTTTTAGCAAAATGTATCACCATTCCATCAAACCCATAATTTCACACTTATTTCATAGACAAGGCTGAATTTAAAACACACACACACACACACACACACACACCCTCAGGATACTTTAAAGAACAACACTAAGTAGATAATGGTGCCGGTGGCCCGATAAGACCCGAATTGTGAAGGTGACAATGTTTCGAAGGTGCCGCTTCCCCTGAAGTAGATAGTGATTTTTACTATCCATCTTTCTTTCTTTCCATCTTTCTCAGTTCCATCTTTCTTCAGTTGCCTGTATTTCCATGCATGGGTTTGGCATTTTACATTTAGATGTGCTTTTACACATATTGGATTAATTTTTCCATAAACCCTACATGGTAGACAAGGCTTTATTCCTGTCTTACAGATGTGGAGACTGAGGTTCAGAGAGGTTAAGCAACTGGAGCTTAGCTATAATCTCTGTCTATATGTAGAATAAAGCTATCTAGAAAAATATATAGCTAATGTTTATTGAGAGGCTACTGTGTACCAGGCACTGTTCTAGAAACAAAAAGCTCCCATGGAGTTTACATTTAGAAATGTATTTTTTGGGGCTCAGATGAAGAACTTTGATTTGAAGTTCACTGCTTTTTCTACCCACTACCCTATACTAGATCATGGCTTCTGGAAAAGGCAGGAGCCACATAAACGTGTTAAATCTCATGAAATTGTACACCCATAGAACAGTGTTCACTTTGTGTAAGTTAGGAACAAGTGAGCCATCATATAAGTTATAAGTAATTTATTGTATAAGTTATATGTAATTCTCATACAATTATACAAGTCATGTGTAATTCATTATATAAATAGATATGAAATGTATTTAAAGTGGGTGAATGTAAGGTATATGTAAAATTTCATTTTAAAGAGGCAGCAGAAAACAAAGACCGACTTTTATCTTATAAGAGACCTAAAACTCTCATTCCACCTTCCCAAGAGGGAACAAAAATGGGCAAATACAGCATTAAATAAGAGGAGGTGGGTACAGCAGAATCTTAACGACCAGAATTGGACTAGCAGAAAGCTCCTGTAAATCTATGATCTTGACTTTGCCCCACTTTCAGGAGAAAGCAAAACAAACTGCTTTTGGTAGACAGAGAAAGCAAAGATGCTACCTGGGAATAAGGAAAAAGGAATCATTGCTCGAGCACATGCCTATCGCGGTGGTGAAATCAGTGGGCTTGGCAGAGGGGCAGCCAAGGTTGAGGAATCACCCCCCTCTATTTGCAGACTTTGCCAAGGTTGTCCTGGACAGAGCTCCAAATCCCTGGATTCCTGATGAGGGTATAGGAGGGGGTGGGGATGGTGGAGTGAGCCTTTGGAGTCAGAAAGACCTGGCCTTGAACTCTGGCTCTGTCACATGAGAGCTAGCACTAACTCCTTCACAACAAGGAGTTGCAACAAGCAAGCACTCAACAAACCTTAACTAGAGGGGTGCCTGGGTGGTTCAGTCAGTTAAAGCGTCCGACTCTTGGTTTCGGTTCAGGTCATGATCTCAGCGTTGTGAGATCAAGTTCGAAGTCTGGCTGCACACTCAGCACGGAGTCTTCTTGAGATTTTTCTCTCCCTCTCCTTTTGCCCCTCCCCCCACTCCTGTGCTCTCTTCCTCTCTCTAAAATCAATCAATCAATCAATTTTTAAACCTTGATTAGAACAAAATGAAGCAGCTGTAAAAAGCATCAGGAATGCAGAGAAACCCTCTTCTGTGTGCCACCATCTTTCCTGGGCCCCTCCAGATCTGGGGCATCTTCCAAAGATTTTACCAATTTGGTTTCTCTTGGCTTGCCCTCAAGCAATGACTCTAAGTATCTAACTTAAGCTGAGAGACTTTTTGGGGTTGTTTTGGCAATAGGTTCTAAACTGTAGAAGTTGTTTATCTCTGTGCCTACATAGCATATTTCATTCTGGCACTGGGAGTATAGGTTAAATAGATTCCCCAAGTAGATGTTCAATTATTCAGCCTCTTCTTATTTAATTAACTTATTGATTAAGCATCCTGTTCTGAGCAGGAGCAGTGTCTCTTTCAGCTGGCAACTTGGCATCTGAGACGCTCAGGACTTCCAGAGACATGGCATTTCTGTAGATCTCTCCGTGGTCAGTCCTGCTGTTGTGGGGATTCGGCTCCCAGCACAGCAAGCTGTGTGCATGACCAATATTATATATTCAAAGGGTGGGTTTGCCCTGGGGGAATATGGACTGGGCAAACTTAATGGGGCTGCAACTGGTGGAACCACACAGCACAGAGGCTATGAACAGGATGTCTGTTGGAAATCACTGAGTAGTCTGGCCTGGTTGGAGGTGAAGTCGGGCACAAGAATGGCAGCAGAGACAGCCACAAGGGTAGGCAGCAAGTAGATCCTAAAGGCTTAGAGTACCAGGATCCTAAAGGCTTAGAGTACCAGGATCCTAAAGGCTTAGAGTACCAGGATCCTAAAGGCTTAGAGTACCAGGATAAATTTTTATTAACTTATTATTTTTTAGAGGGCGGAGGGGCAGAAGGAGAGGGAGAGAGAGAAGCTAAAGCAGGCTCCATGCCCAGTGTGGAGCCCTATGCAGGGCTCCATCTCACGACCCTGAGATCATGACCTGAGCTGAAATTAAGAGTCAGATGCTCAACTGAGTGAGCCACCCAGGTGCCCCCAGGGTAAAGAGTTTAGATTGTCCTCAGGCTGATGGAGGCTCACTGAGGATTTTTTTTTTTTTTAAAGATTTTGTTTATTTGAGAGAGAGAGCAAGAGAGACAGCATGAGCAGGGGGAGGGACAGAGGGAGAAGCAGACTCCCCACCGAGCAGGGAGCCCAACGTGGGGCTCCATCCCAAGACCCTGGGATCATGACCTAAGCCAAAGGCAGACGCTTAACAGACTGAGCCACCCAGGCACCCCTCACTGAGGATTTTTTTTAAGCAAGAGAATGATATGGTCAGATTGGCATTTTATAAGATTACTTGGCTATTAGCTCTGTGCTTCTAAAACGATCGTGCATGAGAATCACCTCGGCATCTTGATAAAATGCATACCCTGATTCAGTAGGTCCAGAGTGTGGCCTGAAATTCTGCATTTCTAATAAACTCCCAGGTGATGCAGATGCTGCTGGTCTGTGGCCAATACTTTGATTACCAAGTAGAGCCACGGTTCTTAAACTTTGGGGGTATCAGAATCACCTAAGGGGGTATTAAACCCAGTTGGCTGGCCTCTGCCCCTACATTTTCTGATTTAATCACTCTGCCTGGGACCCAGCCACTCCGTGGGGTGATGCTGGTGCTGGTGGCCTGGGCACAGTCCCGAGAACCATCAGGACAGAGGGTTGATGGAAGAAGGGCAAGACTTGAGGGAGGAACACAGTCAGGAGGCTGGAGCCACAGCCTGGTATGACACGATGCCCTGCGGGTGGCACTGGGAATGTGGAAAGGTACGAGTTCCGTGCCAGGTGGCATGACAGGACTTCGTGACTGACCAGCTGCAAGGAGGGGGAGGAGAAGGACTGGCAAGGCCTCAGGTCTCTGGCCTGAGAGCGTGGAGGGCTCACCCACTCCTGCAGATGCAGCAGGAGCAAGCCTGGGGTGGGCCGTGATGCTGGCTTCAGTTTTAGACGGTCGGGATGAGCCTCGGAGGGCTGGCGGGGGAGAAGCGGGGTGGGGGCAGGTGTCTGCAGAGGGCAGCAGACTGACTGATACCGGTTTGCTATTTAATAGAAGTCCACATGCTTCATTCTCTTTAACCACAAGCTGAGGCTCTTTTGCCTCTCCTCTTCCTAGGGATGGAGCAGGCATGGCCAGAATGCCCGCGAAGCCTGGGAAACCTCTAAAAAGAGACATCTTCCTACAGTGTTTGAGCTTCTATCTTTTCCTCACAGCCGCCCCAAATTATATGACAGTATGATCCCTACTTTCCAGGAAGTACATTATCAGCAGAAACCCAAGGCTACTTGCTGTCCCTCCTCCCCCTCCCCCCACCGGAAGTTTATTTGATGAAATTTTAAAAACACTTGAAATATTTTATTCTGCTAAAAAAAATTTGTATGACTGACCTGGACTTCTTCTGTTCAAGTTTTCATCCGGCAACAAGGTTGGAAGATCCCTGTCATGTCTTGGGATGCTTTGAAGGATTTTCTTGGCTTTATGGTCCCTCGGTTTTTGCTTATTAATTCTTGCCTCCCTGTGAAGACTTTTCTTCTGAAAATGATCAGCTATAATGGATTAGTGTTCTTCCCCCTGAGCTCCTATCACCAGAATAGGTCACCAGATCAGCCACTCTGCAAGTTGTGTGCTTATGTGTATTCTGGTCCCCTAACCAGAACACACTTTTCTTTTTCCTATTAGAAGGTACAGAAACTTTCTCTAGGCACAGGCTTGTTAGGAGAGAGGAGAGTATGCCCACAGTCTCAAAAAGGCATAGCTTGATTTAAGAGGAGGACCTTTGTAAAAACATTTGTTGGTAGGCCACCGATATACTTGGGATTGCAGAAGACGGTGACTTTAGGCTTAAATTCCAGAGTGAGGAATGGAATATGACAATTACAGGAGACATGACTGTAAAGGGGTTTGTTACAAGAGATGGTTCTTGTAGGATAATCCCATGGTGTGCATTATGGAGGATGCCTAGGTATCAAAATAAAGACCCACTCACCCCCCTCTATTCTCCTAAACCGAGACAGGTGATCTAACCTCATTTTCCTGCTGGAGCCAGAATGTCATGGGAGCAATTTGTGAAGAGGAAAAAAAAAAAAAAGGAAAGCAAGAACAGAGAGACTTGGGACACAGATACATCCTTATGATTGAAAACAAAGAAAAGGCTCAACAGGGTCAGTGGCAGAAGGGATCTTGCTGATGTTTCCCAATTCCAGTAGTTGAGGCTTCGGTGCCAATGACCAAATTTAAAATGCTAAGTAAAGCCTGGGGACAGATGCTAAACCATTCAAGTGCGAGGGCAGTGATGATGTGGAGTAAACATGGTAAATATGACACTCCTCTTCTCTCTTCTCATACTTACCTCTTGTCTGTTACGGTTCATTTCCAGCATTCGCATCTTATGTAAATATTGTCTTTTCCCGGGAGTATACCCTGAAGTTTGCATCTTCTTTTCAAGTTCCAGCTGTGAAAGATGACACACTCGTTAGAATGGGGTAATTTGTTACTGACTCTGCAATCCACAACTTGCCATTTTTTTTTTTTTTGGAACAGAGTGAGATCTTAATCAGCCATCAGTTATAATCCATTGAGATCTCTTGTGACGTCAAAGGTGGATCGTTGTAGCTCCCCACTGAGTCCTTTGTGTAGCTCTCTGTGAATGGAGCTTTGCTGTGCGTATAACGTAGTTTCTAAGGCTCCTGTAGAGTTTTGCACACCTTAAGTGGAACTATGTTTCCACATCTCATTTTGATGAACTATCGCTTACCCTGTCAATAGATGCTTATCACTATCTCCCCAGAAATGTGTTCTGGTTGGGTAAGACTGGCCTCTTTCTTCCTGCCTCTTCTGCCATTGTCTGGCCATGACATTGGAGGGGAGCCACTGAATGGTTAAATGGAACCCATTTCTATAGCCTGTACTCCCATATGCCAATATAAGCCCTGGTATATTAGGAAGTTGATTATTTGTGACTTTGGCGATCTCCCCTGGTGCATCATAAACCCCAGGGGGACAGTGCAGACAGTTATTAAGGGCAACCAGGGGTGAAAACACCCTTGTTCGCCCCTTGCTGTGGCCAGGAGAGGGAAGGGATACGGCAGCCAGATGTGCTCAGTGATACCTTTTTGCCGCCCTGCGGACAGGGACTGTGTTGGCTGCTGCGAGCCTCCTGAGGGGACCATCTCTACAGTTCTGCCAGCATCGCACACCTGGCCTTGACCTCTTCTACCAAATCAGCCAGGTGTGCAGCCGAGCTGGCTCCAAAATGAAGCAGGAGTGGAAAGTGCTGTAAGTTTACTACCTCCCAGTTTTCATGTCTACACGAGGGGCATTTTCTCAGCAGAAGCTGACAAATGAATAAAAGGAAAAAGCTCTTCAGAAGACCTTTCCCAAGGGTTCCTTTTTGGGGAGGTGATGGTAAGTAAGTCAGGAACACCTCGTAGAAATGATTTCTCCTGAAAACTGAGACTGAGGAGAAAGGTTTAACCTGAGGAGAAGAATAAAAAGAAAGAATTATGCCAGATTTTTCATAAATTTGAGCACTTCTAGAATTACCAATGTCCTAGTAAAATTCCTCTCTCTTATCTGCATCTCCCTGTTTTCACCAGGAAGTGGAGAAGGGCCCAGAGTTTACCTCAGAGATGAGAGTCTTTGCCAGCTGGAGGCAGGCCCAGGAGAGAATGGATAGCTCTGGAAGGTCCTAACGTTGAGTGACTTCATAGTCACATTTGTCTTTGAAGTCTTCTGTGCAAGGAGTATATGAAAAGGAGAGCCCACCCCCCCGCCCCGTTACCCACCCCCTCCAGTGAATGCTGCAGTTCACCTTTGCTTTGTGAGTCGTTCTGGCTTCTTGCTGGCTCAGGAGCGTTTCAGAAGTAATTACTTGTGGCAGGTCAATGGGTTCAAGCTTCTAGAAGTCCAATATTTAGAGCATTCAGCATTCCTCATGCCATGAGATGATGAAACATAAAAGCCAGACATTAAACTATCTTAATACTTTGCAAAAGCAGCACTTATTCCTGAGAGCGCATAGGGAAGGCGATTTCAACAGGACTGCGGTCGTATCTGTGCAAAAGACTTTTCAACTCATCTGGGTTCTTTATTGTTCTATTGCACTGCTGCCAGGGACTTATTGATCTAAATATTGGTCAGAGAGTCAAAACACTAAGAATCCTTTTCTGTCTGCATCGACGGACCAAGTCCAAAGTTATCAGACAACAAGGGGCTTAGAGTATTCGAGATGAAAGAGGCACCAGGAATTTGTTTTATTCATTCCTTAACCATCCAGTGGACTCTTCCAGTCCTTAGGGAAGTGACCTGTATTAAGCTCTCCAGAGAAGCTCCCTCAGTCTCCTCCATAATAATCACTGGCACCCAGGCGGAGCATTTAAAATGAAAGTGCAATGGGCTTACAAATCTTAGATGTGGTTTTTTTGTTTTGTTTTGTTTGCCTTTTTTTTTTTTTTTCTAGCAGGGGCTTGTCTTTATGGGGGAGATCATGTTAGAGTTTCAAAGGGTCATTAAGACTAGGAAGCCAATGATGAACCAGTGGATCTGCCTTTAACCCTACTTGCCTCGGATGACTTAATGCTCTGGAAGTGGTTGAGCAGGCCTGGGAGACAAACGTGGGTCTCTCCACACTGATGTGTGGGCAGGGACCTTGGAGGGCTGTAGAATTTATCTGTTCACTCAGTGAGTACATACTGGACAACTAGTGCGTGCCAGGCATGAGAGTGCAGTGGTCAACAAACATGGTCCCTATGGAGCTTATAATTGGTGGGGGAACAAATACATTTTTCTTGTATGATTATTCATTAATAATTACCAACTGTGATCAGTGCTTTGAAGAAAAAGTCTACAGGGCAGGGCGATGACAGTATATAACCAGAGAACTCCACCTTGGGAATGGAGGGTGTTATGAATTGAATTGTGCCCCCCACCCCAATTCATATGTTGAGGTCTTAACCCCCATAATCATAATCTCAGAATGTGATCTTATTTGGAAATAGGGTCCTTGCAGATGTAATTAGTTAAAGATGAGGTCATACTGGCGCCGGGTGACTCTTAATCCAGTATGTCTGGTGTCCTCATTAAAAAAGGGAAATTTGTATGCACACAGGGACAACACCATGTGAAGATGAAGGCAGAGATCAGGGTGATGCTTCTACAAGCCAAGGAGTGACAAAGATTGCCATGAAACCACTGGAAGTTAAGAGAGAGACGTGGAACAGATCCTTCTGCTCAGCTCTCAGAAGGAACCAACCCTGCAAACACTTTGATCCTGGACTTCCTGCATCCAGGACTGTGAGATAATACATTTCTATTGTTTTAAGCCCCACAGTTTGTTGTACTTTGTTACAGCAGCCCTAGAAAATTAATGCAAGGGGGGAAGGAGTAAGGGGGCAGTCCGAGAAAGTTTCCTGAGGAAGTAATTTCCAGCCGAAGTTGGACATTTAGGAAATTTTAGGGGACTAAGGTGTTCCAGGTAGAGGGAACAACATGCACAAACACCCCGAGGTAGGAAAGAGCAGGATCCGTTGAGGGAACTGCAGGAAGTGAGTTGACTGCAGTTCAGAGTAAAGGGAAGAACTGCTCAAAAGAGGCTGGAGAGGTAGGTAGTAGGCAGGGGCCAGGTCTTACAGGGCCTGATGAAGCTTCTAAAGATGTTGGTCTTCTTAAGAGCAATGGGCAGCCATTGGCATATATCAAGCAAAATAGTGACATGATTACATTTGCTTTTAAAAAATGATCACTCCAGCTGCACTGTGGAAACTAGAGAAGAGCAATCCCTGATGCGGCGGGGGGCAGTTAGGAGGACAACGGTGATGGGCTCAGGGCTCATGGAGGAAATCAGTGGGCTCTACAAATATTTAAAACTGACCAAACAAGATTTGTTATAGTTGGTGAGGAATAGTGAAGGGTCCAAATGGCCTCCAAATACAAAGGATGGGTAGTGTTATCATTCACTGAGATGGGAACCCTAGGGAAGGCCAGATGTGAATGAGATATAACAGGAGGATACAAATTCAGTTTAGAGCAGGTTGAGTTTGAGATGCCTTTGAGGCATACCAGTGTAGATGTTGAGTAGATAATGAGATATACAGGCATGGAGCTCACAGGAGAGGTCTATGCTAGAGACACATATTTGGGGATCATCCCTGAGTAGAGAATAACTGAAACCATAGTCATGGGTAAGACCATCTTGACCATAAGGTCAAGAGTGAGAAGAGCAGAGCCAAGGACTGAAGACTTGAAGAGCTCCAACCTGAGAAGCTGGTGGATGGGGACAAGCTGGCCAAGGACACAGAGAAGAGATGGCTCGAGAAGTAGGAGGAAAATGAGGAGGACACCACACTGCAGCAAACAGTGTGAGCACCACTCCCACCTTAGTCCAACGCTAAAGGCAAATGATGATTTATTTTGAAATTATTTTTCATTTTAGTCTGATTGGTTGCATTATCAAGGGGTAGACCTGGAAGCCAGCTTTCAAGGTGACCAGAGTGAAAAGAGAGAGGAAGGAGACGGGGAAATGGATGCTGAGCAGCCAGCACTCATGGTGAGCATGACCTGTGCCTCCTGCTACTTCTCTGTAGAACAATTCCCTGGTCTCTGGGCCTGGGCCTGAGCTGTTCTAGGGAGAACAACCCGCATTCCTTTCTGCTGGCACAGCCCAAAGCTCACCTGGCAAGGACAAAAACGAGGGCAAAGCATTTGGAGACAGGGAGGAGAGACAAATAATCTTTAGTTGAGACGTGTGCCTCTGCCAGACAATTTGCATTTGTGGTAGAAAGTGGTTCCCTGTTCCATTCTCACCTCAGGTGGAGAAAGTGGGGCTTTTAGCATAAGAACTGCGCAAGGATGTCATGAGAGGTGATGAGGATTAGTAAGAGAGAGGTTTGTCTGGCTCTCTTCTCTGCTGGGCCAATGGGACCTACTGGCATAAGAGGTAGCAGCCGATCAGATCAGAACCTGCAGGGAATGGAGACCAAGAGGAAAGAGCTATCCAGGCACCTGTGGGAAGAAGAATTAGCAGTGACCGAAGGGGGTATTCAGGGCCTGAGGGGAGGACAAGGCAGTGTTTGTGCCATTTCCTGGACTTGGTTCAGGATCTAGTTCTTTCTGGTGATGCGGCTCAGGAGCCTTTACAGTTGCCCTTGTCTGTCAGTCCCAAGGTCACAATATGTCATCTGGTTCAATCCTCCCATGAATCCTGTGGGTAATTATGATGATCTCCCCATTGTCGAGAGGTTAATAAATTGTCCAAGGCTTCACAGCTAGAAAATGGCAACTTTAGAATTCAAACTCAGGTTTGAATCCAGTTCCAAATCCCATGCTCCTTCCTCTTCTACTTGTTCCTAAACCTGGTTTATCATCAGAATCTCCTGAAATTAAACACAGAGACACACAGACACACACACAGACACACACACACACACATACACACACACACCAAAAAACCTGGGCTATTCACTGGGGATTGTGATTCAACAGGTCTAGAATATGTCCTGGGAATGAATATACGTATTATATATATAAATAATAAACTTTAATTTTTAGGGCAGATTTAGGTTCATAGCAAAACTGGAAAGTACAGAGAGTTCCCAGATACTCCCTGCCCCCACATATGCACAACCTCCTCCACGATCAACATCCCTCACCAGAGCGGTACATCTGTTACAATTGATAAACCTACATTCACACGTCATTATCACTGAAAGTCCATAGTTTAAAGTTCACTCTTGGTGTTGTACAGCCATTGGATTTGGACAAATGTATAATGACATGTAACCACCAACGTAGTATCCTACAGAATAGTTTCATTGCCCTAAAAATCCTTTGTGTTTTGTCCATTCATCTCTCCCTTCCTCCTCTTATCCCCTGGCAACCACTGATCTTTTTACCGTCTCTGTTGTTTTGCCTTTTCTGAAATGTCAGTATTTTTGGAATCATACAGTATATAGTCTTTTCAGATTGTCCTCTTTCACTTAACAATACACATTTAAATTTTCTCCATATAAGGGCACCTGGGTGGCTCAGTCGGTTAAGTCTCCAACTCTTGATTTCAGCTCAGGTCATGATCTCAGGGTTGTGAGATCAAGCCCCATGTTGGGCTCCATGCTCAGCACGGAGTCTGCTTCTCTGTCTCTCTCTTGGCCTCTTACCCTGCTCATTCTTTTTTTCTCTCTCTCTCTCAAATAAATAAGTCAGTCTTTAAATTTTCTCCATATCTCCATCATAGCTTGGGAGTTAATTTCTTTTAGTGATGAATAATATTCCATTATATGGATGTACCACAGTTTCTTCATCCATACATCTCCTTAAGGACTTCTTGGTTACATCCAAATTTTGGAAATTATGAATAAAGCTGCCATACTCATCCCTGTGCAGGTTTTTGTGTGGACATCTGTTTTCAATTCATTTGGGCAAATACTAAGGCTCACAATTGCTGGGTTGTATGGGAGGAGTATGTTTAGTTTTATAAGAAGTTCCTGCTGCTCCACATCCTTGCCAACATTTGGTGTTGTCAGTGTTCTGGATTTTGTCTATTCTAATACGTGTATAGTGGTATCTCATTGTTGTTTTAATTTGCATTTCCCCGATGACATATGATGTTGAATGTATTTTCATATGCTTACTTGCCCTCTTTTATCTTCTCTACTTGCCTTCTTATTCTATTGACAATGTCAAGAGCAGAGCAGAAGGTTTGAATTTCATTGAAGTCCAGCTTCTCAGTCGTTTCTTTGGAATATATCCCCAGGGGATTCTGATGATTTTCTAGGCTGGGGTCCACTGGCTCCCATAGTGCCTCAAGTGAACACAGGAACTACATCAGGGTAGACCGCAGAGGATTTGTTTGCGGTGCATTATTGAAAAATTGAATCTGAAGACCCCAGCTATTTGAATATTTTCAGCTTTTCAAAACAATCTCTCCATAAATTCTTAGGGCCAGCTTTTTCTTTGAAAATATAAATATATATTTCTCTATTTTCAGCCTCATTGTATTTAAACCCATAATTCTGATAGGAGTTAAAGAGTAGGTGTCTTTAAGAACTCCTCCAGGCAATTACTTTCTTCCTGGCCTTTGAAAAGAACTAAGAATCACACTATTCCTCCACAAAGGGCACTAGATGGCAGCAACTAACATTGCAAATAGGATCCCTCCCATAAGTATTTGCACTTGGCCTGAGAAGCACTGCAGAAAAAACTGTTGGAAAATTGGCTTCTCTAAACAAAACAAGTCAAATGAAATTCCCCCAGAATTCTGGGTCCGTATCAACGTTCCTTTTTGTTGCTGGGGAAGCAAACTGCCTCACTTCATCATCTTCAGAGAGAATACAAGGGAAGGAATTACTGGAGAACTGGTATGGTATAATGACACCTTTTTTTATCTCATGTTATAAAAAATGTATTGTCTGTCTAAAGGTTTCTGGGTTATTTGGTTTCTCAAGTGAAACAAATGGTCAGGCTAATCAGTTGAAGTGTCAGCTGGGAAACTCCGAAATGGAGATTAAATCAAGCAGAAGTCACTGAGCTTGGTGACACACTAACCTGAGATGGTTGTTCCTGCATAGTAACAGGAAGAGAAAGATGGGCAGGAGAAGCTCAAAGAAATTGCAACATTTGTTTGGCACCATAACTTAAGAATGTATGTCCTTTAAGGTTCTCAGAAGAAGGTAAAGGTGTCCAGGGCAACCTGGAAGCAAGAAATCATGAGCCCAAGGTGGAATTTCTGGTCAAGGCATTACAATGAGTTCACACTTCAATAATTTTCTTTGCCCCAAATGAAAAATAAAACATAAAGCCAAAAAGATGTGGTTGGGCTTTAATACAAGATATATATCTCCATGGACCAGAAAACAAGCAGAAATACATACTTAGAGGAAGTTGATCCATAAGGCGTTCAGGGCTCCTGATGGCTGTGAGTTATTTCTAGAGATTAAAGGGGACCTAAAGATGCACCATGTAAGATGGCAAACTAGAGCCAGGATCACAGCTTGACATCAGAGACTGAGTTGTTCTCTACCTTTCTACCCAGTACAAGAGAGCTGCGTCAAAATGTAAGTTGGAAGATTTGTTTTACAAGCATTATCAAAACGTTGAACATGAAGAATATTAAGCAGCCATAAAAAAGGATGAGATCTTGCCATTTGCTCCAACATGGACAGACCTAGAGAGTATAGTGTTAAGTGAAATAAGTCAGACTGAGAAAGACAAATACCATGATTTCACTCAAGATGTTCATAATAGGAGGGGAAAACCCCCACAGTGTTATTTTGATGGTGAGCATTGACTTGCCTAGGGTATAGCCTCCAGTTACTCAAGCACTAATCTAGGTGTTGCTGTGACATTATTTTGTAGAGGTGATTAAAGTCCATAAGCATTTGACTTTTTTTTTTTTTTTAAGATTTTATTTATTTTGAGAGAGAGAGTGCACGCAAAGGTGGGGGGGCAGAGACAGAGGGAGAGAGAGAACCCCAAACAGACTCCATGTTGAGCATGGAGCCTGACTCGGGACTCGATCTCAGGACGCTGAGATAGCACTATCCGAGTCGAAATCAAGAGTTGGACACTTAACTGACTGGGCCACCCAGGCACCCTCATAATGATTTAAGTAAGGAAGATTATTTTAAGTAATTTGGGTGGGCCTGATTCAATCAGTTAAAAGGTCTTAAGAGCAAAGCTGAGGCTCCCCTGAAGAACAGAAAATTCTATTTATGGACAGCAGCTTCAGCTCATGCCTTGCAGTTGCAGCCTGACCTCCCTGAT